TTGCCTCCCAGCAAAGGAGCACCTGGGGAGCTCTGCTGGGCAGTCCTGGTGTGTGCAATCCCCAACCACATGGCCCCATGCCTCTGTACAGACTGCCTTTAAAGAGCTGTGGGATGCAGCTGACCCTTTTAATACAAGTCATTTCCTTTTAGCTTCTCAGAGCAACAAAAACATGTTTACATCAAGTCCCAACCATCTCTTCTTCCAGAACCACTTTCATTACTGGGGCAGAGGATGATGGGTAGGAAAATAGAAGTCCATCATGCAGGGAGTATAGAGGTGGGAGAAAATGGAACTTTAGTGATACAGGATTATTAAAATAATAACATTTTCCAGGGTAATGGGACAAACTAAGTACACCTACTCTTATACTCCCTATCCTGCTTGTTAGTTTAATGTTTGTATCTTTCTGTTGCTATATAATTAAAATCTGACATGGTTTTAATGTCCAGTGCAGGTCGGATGTCAGTAACACACTACATCCTGTTACTTGTAATGTGAAATCTAGAGTTTTAGAAACAATTCCTTTCTATGGAAGGTGAGGACTCCTTTAGAAATTTCACATACTGCAGAGCAGTGCATTGAACTTGCCCTTCCTGATGATTGGTCACAGACCTATGGAAAATTATCCCTGGAGCATTACAGATCACAGGATAAAAGTGAGTACTCAACAGGACGGGGATTAGGCAATCTGGGTTAATATAATTTAAAGTTAGATATTTGAATGCTTTTGGAATTCTCAGCACCAGCCATCAGCTGGAGTGAGAACATGTGCTGGGACAGCTGTTGAAGAGCAGTGGGAGAATGGGAGGATTCCATCCTTGCTTTACTTGTGACTTTTCTGTGCCTGGAGAAAACAGCCTTTGCTCTGTTCATGAAATGGGAATTTATGGAACAGGGTTTTTTTCATCTTCACTTACAATGCAAGAATTTCCACAGCAAGACTTTTATTCTATTACAAAAACAGGTAAATATTCCTTTTCTTCTAATCTCAGACCAAATTTCTTGCTCCAAAGTACAGTGTAAAATCTATACACCTGCATCCTACAGTGCTGTAATGAATAGTGTCATGACCTTTAGGTGTTCTGTCTTTTCAGTGAAGACCAAAGTCAGGCCTGTAGTTCTTTCAGCTGCACTTGGATTTCGCTTGATGGCTGAATTAGTCCCTTTACTTAGGCTAGCCAGGTAGAAACATGATGGTTCACACACTGTAGGATTCAGACATTAGCACATTAAAGACAGAGTTTCCTGGCTTTGTATGGGGCTCACTTTCTATCTAGAACGAATTTCTTCTTGGCAGTTAGCCTGGCTAAGTCAGATAAAATATACACATCTTCTTGCTTTGTTCCTTCCTTGGCCATGCTGACACATGAGTCAAGTGCAACTAACCTGATACTTTAACCCTGCCTTCCTAGAAGATGTAGGCTGTTGGGCAGGCAAGGGGTTCTCCCTGGGTCCTGCCTGGAGGCCACTTGCAGAGCGAGCAGCATCCACAAGGAGCCAAATTCATCAAGGGCCAATGATCACATCAGCCACGTCCTTGGGTGGTCCATCATGTCTTATCAGACTCAACTCAATTGGGCTGACAACTTCTTCAGCCTCTCATGTGCCGCTCAGCCACCCCCATGGCTGACAATATGGCACCAGGGCCAAGGATTTGCAGGAGCTGCACAAGAGCCCACCTACACTGGTTTTATCTGCATTAACTCCCCAGAAATTAACTACTGGGTATTGAGGCAAGCCAGTCACTTTTACAAGCCCAAGCTTCATCCAGTCCTGTGAGGGCAGTGCTCAAAAGGGCTAAACCAGTGCTCCCCTTCCCAGTGCCAAATGGAGAACCTCACTGGGATGAGGACAGTAACTTATCCCCACAAGCTCTCCCTCTATTTCCTTACAGATCTCTTAGCTGGGCTCTGTGCAAGTATTCAGCACACGTGTTAATCTTAAATTCTGCTAGAGACTTAAAGAAATGATAGAAAAAAAATCCCATTTCAGACATGAGCTTCCAGACTGCGGTGGCTTTAACAGCGTAGTTTAATTTCTCTGCTGCTGGTATTGCACTGGGCAGCACTGCAGCGGGTGGAAGAGAAATAGAACAGATTGGTGGCAGATTTTGAAGGGACCTGGTCTTGGGCTAGAAGAGGCCTAAAGATTAAAATCTTAAGTTTTATATTGGTTGTTTTGTCTTTTTTACTTCATAGCTGTTTTAAATTGTTACCATTGTATAGTCTGTGCTGTCCTGGCAAGTGCCCTGACTGCTTTCACTGCTGTCCTGAAGGCTGATTTGAGTCTATGGTTAATTTGGGGATAAGTACTTGTGAAATAAAAAGACAAAAACAGAGCACAAAAAAAAATTGAGACTGTCTGAGGAGAAAAAAGCAACTAAATCCATCTTGTAAAGACAAGGTGCAGGAATACCAGAGGGCAGATTTACCCTTGCATGCTGGTGCTGAGTATTGCCTCCAAAAAAGGCCTGGAGTACTGACTCAGAAAAGGTCTAGTGGTGGAGTTGGTATTTTTATGTTACAGTAGTGAACAGAATGCATCTTGTAATGAAAAAATCCAGCAGGAGACATAAAAAGTTCCAATTAAACATTCTCTTTATTGGGGCCTTGCTCCGAAATGGCACAAGTGATAAACGCTCAGAGTGCTCATCAATGAAAAGACCCAGAGTGCTGCTAATGAAAAGACCCAGAGTCACGTGTTACACTTTTATTTGGATTTAGATCAACACCACAGATAAGATACTTTGGTCAAACACAAGAACAGATTGCTATGCCGCTCCTTCCTGGCTGCAATAAGTACAGTAATGTGTAAAAAAAATATGCTGGTTCTCCTGGAACACCAAATGTAAATCTTGGATTGGCACATACATCTAATAAATAAGCTGTTTGCACTTAGCACTTTAAAACGTAATTGCACATGCAAGATGTAACCAGGCTACTGATCACCTTTGTCATTGTCCCTGTCCTATTTTTACTTTATTAGTTCTTATCTTGCCTTTTTCCCAGCAAGAAAAAAGAATATAATTTGCTGCTCTACTCAGTATTTCAGTGATTAATCTGCTGATTTTGACATGTTTAGCAGAGGTCACATTGAGGCCTTCCTGACAGAATTGGTATCTCCTCTACAGCTTGGCTTGACACACAATGCAGGTGGCAATGGAAGTCCACTGAGGTGAGGTGAGGGGCGTGCCAGAAGCTGACGAGGAGAGGTTAACACAAGCAAAGATACAGTGGAGGACAGGCGTGAATGCAGTTCTTACAATATCAAGAGTCAATACTACTACCACACAAATAATGACCTATCAATAATATATTGTACAAGCTTATACAGCAACACATGTTGATTTGCAACATTGTACAGTTTAAATCTAAAGTGCACAGCCTCAATCTGAGGTGACAAAACAGTACTATCAATATAATAAAGGCAACACAATTACAGACACTATTTATTTCCTCGTACTTAATGTCCTCATGTTACATTGAATCAATACTCCATTTATCTATTTTAGATTAAATTAAACTGACATTGCACTTCTTTTTTTGTCTTCAAGTATTTTAGAGACAGCAAAACCATATTGCCTTACAAACACAAGTTGGCCATTTAGGCAAAGTTAAAACCAAAACTTCAGTAGGGTTATAAGTAGACAGGTCTAAGCTGCAGAACTCTTACCAACACTTCCAGATGTTGGGGGGAGAAAAGATAAATTTAAGTTTCCATGCCAGAGACACCTCTAAAGCTAAGGAATGATGCAGCAAATAATTTGGGCAAGAGCTGTGCCCATGGTTTCTAAGGAGGTTGTGAGGCTCTGTAGGGGCTGTTCTTTGGCAGATGTAGCCATACCTTGACTTCACTGTAGACAAGGATGGAGTCCAGCACTGTGAAAATCCTTTGACAAACCGGTCTGTACTGAGACCCCATCCCTGTCACTCAGATGACAGTCACATTTAATTTAGGCTTTGTCTTGCAGACCTGTACATCTGTAAGAAATCTTCACCTTCTTAATGTAGCTGTGAGGTTTTCAATGTAATTTGGGACTGCTCACAGCAGAAATATTTTTGAGATAAGAATTTACTCAGACGTGGCCTTTTTTTTTAAATAGGCTTTTTAAACACAGAACACAGAAACCATCCAAATACAACCTTATTTCAGTCTTGGTTAGCACTGTATATTGATTGTGCGTCTGCTTAGGCCACGTGGGAAACATAATTAGGAATAATAGCATCCTATTGTTGTACTGTAATTGATCTTATTAAGTGGTTGTAAGAGCTGCAGTCTTCTTGAGGTTTTTCAGTAACCGACCTGGAGATGTACAATCCATATGACATGGAGAAAGAATGTATTACGTGGGCTTGTCTTTTAAAATAAGCAGTAATAAATATTCGAGGCACCTCCACCAAAAGAAAAAGAATCCCAGTTAATTTTCAGCTTCTGTACTTGCGGTTTTATAACCCATAAAAAATAAAAATATATAGTTTACAAAATAGGATTTTTTATATATATATATATATATTTCCTTTTGTAAAACTATACTTATTTAAATACATTTGAAATGTTACTACAGGTAAATTAGAAATTCTGTTCTAATACTACGAAAAAGGCAAAATCCTTTCACTTTTAAACATACAACATGTATATTCCTCATCTCACCACCCCCTCCCACTTCCCCCAATCTGATTTTGTCATAATTTTGGGCAACTTTGGCATCATGCAGTCTGATTGCTGTTAATTTAAAGTAATTACTGTGTTAAAATTAGGGGTAAAATTTTAAGTATCTTCTGGTCTTCCTTATTTGTTTCAATGAAGCTTTTTTGTGCAGCAAATTATTAAGGAGGCATTCTAAAACTCAGGAAAGGACTTTAAAGGAGCCATATTTCTTGATTTTAAACTGTACTCTACTCCAACGCCACAATATAGAAATAGATTTACTTTGGAACAAACTACAAATACATTCGCACAGTTTGTGACAACTTAATTGTCTACTTAGAGGTCCAGGAACAGACTTTCACACCCAGTTATTATAAATCTTGTCCCAGGCGTTCTATTTCGTCAATCAGGAAATCAATGTCTTGGTGAGTGGCCGCAGGGTTGGAGATGACCATCCGGAAGAAGTTCACTTTGTCTCCCAGGGGCTGATAGCTCACCATGGTCGTGCCATACTCCATCATCCTGGCTTTTATCACTGGTGCCACCTGCAGAGCAACAGAAAGTAGGTGATGATGATGATGACTATTATTATTGTCATTATTATCATTATTATCATTATTTTCATTATTGTCATCAACCTCATTGTTATTAAAACAGAGTGTACTTCCTTTTTTTTATAGAGGATGGAGAGCTACAAGCAGCTGAAATGAAATTACATCCAATATTAAAAAAAAAACAACCATTAACCTCCAGTAAGGAATAAATGTCACACTGAAAAGGCACTCAATTTATCTCGTTTCTTTGTCGTGCTCTTTAAACGACTGGGGAAATTTCCCTCTGCTACTCCCTCAATATTGCTGACAGGGACACAGTAGCTGTTTTTTGTACTGCTCACAACATGGCTACAATTGTTTTCATATGCCAGGGCGCTGTAGCACTGCTGAGCTTTTGCTGCCCTTGCTGTGTTTAGTGACTGCAGCTGACAGTACCTCCAGCGCACAGACACGGAGCAAATCCGGGCTCTGGACATCAGGCACAGCCAGGGAACACCGCACCTGGGACCAGGGCAAGGTGGTGCCAGACTGGCCTGCAGTGAAATGACCGTGGGGCTGTCATTTGCCAGAACCTCCCTTGCCCTGTCCCCTGGGAGATCATTCTAGGGATTGCCCGCCTGCGAGGGTTTCACCGCTCACCTTCATCAGGCGGCTCGTTCTCTCTTCGCTGTCCTCCACGCCACGCAAGCTGGGAGGTATGTACCAGAAGCAGACATTGGTGTGCTGAGGCTAAGCACAGAATAATAATGGTTTACGTTGTAAGAAATGCTCATAATATCTCAATTGAAATTAAGCTCATGCCTTCCCTCCCTGTCATACATCATCTTGTGACAGCAGTCAATGGTTTTCATTATTGTGGTCCACTGAGAGTCATCATCATTATTAATGCAGAAAAGATAATTTTAAGCAATTTATTCCCAGGGTGTCAGATGCAGAAACACATCATCCAGCTGGGCAAATATATCTATGCCTTTCTGAAAGGCATCAGGATTTTGCAGCTCCTGTCCCCTCCAGGGGCTGAAGGGATCGTGTGGCTAAGACAAGAGTCTATTACAGATAATTTAGAGGTGAGGACTGTGTAATTTACTTTTATTACATGACAGAATAATACAGAATCTGATTCTGTAAACAGGAGCCACAGGTGTTGCATAAGATAGTCTAAGATTTTCTTACATTTAATGAAATGTATTACTTCTCAATTTGATTCAGCTAGCTGCTGTATGCAGCAGCACAGCATCTTAGCTCATTTAACGTCTTTGGGACCACTAAGCAAAAAGGCATAAAGTGAGAACTTAGTTGACATTTTGTGCATTTTTTGTGCATTTTGTGGGGTACTGTACACCCACTCCTAACAGACCCTGCTATTAGGAAACCGTAACTTGTTTTTATAACAAAAGATCTGGTTCTCATTGTGCCTCTGTGGGTTGTGTTACGCTGAGATACTGTTGTTTTGTCTCAGAAGAGCTAAACAGAGCAAACTGAACACTTATGTGTGGCTGCCTCATCTTCCTTGTCCCTGCATTCCATGAGGAAGAGAGGAACTGGCACAAGAGGTTTTGTTACACGGGTCCCTCCTTTCTGTCTCATGCTGTTTGATTTGACCTCTTGGTAGCATCCCAATAGGTAATGCAGCAAACACTGTTGACCAACTGAGAAAAAGAAGTTGTGCTACATACCTTTCCATCAAACACCATTTCATACCCTTCTCTGTTCTTTATTTTATTGTATAGGTATTCAGCAAGTTCCAAGCACTTATCAATTTGTGCTTCAAATCCTGTGGTTCCCTTTACAGAGAGATGAAGAAAAGAAGTTATGTAAATATCTGTTCTATGAATTAAAAGGGCAAAAGGACCATGCAATACTTGCCAACACATCAGCAGAAGTCACCTCTCGGAAGTCTCTGTGAGACCAAGGATCTGATTCTATGTGATGAAGGGCACTTTGATAAGCAGAACTCATTTGTCTCTAGCTCTTGCCACTGACACCCCTATAGCCAACTCTGCAAAATAAGCATCAGGTACCTGCTTGGTTCTCAGGAATATTTTGCTGAGAACCTGAATAGCACCTCAAAGGGTGCCTTTGGCAGATTTTGGAGAGAGGCTGAGGGTGGTTTTGGACAGCTTGGACTGGCACGGAGCGGGGTCTTCAGGAGGTGTTGAGTTCCAGACATGGGGAGTCTCCCACTATTTTCAGGATAGGGGATTTTCATCTTCCACGAATGATATGCTGGGGACTTTCCAAGAATAATTTTTTTCTTTTTTAGTTAAGCACAGAGCGGGTAGATACAGTTTTAGAGCCCAGTCTAATGCCTGTGAAATGCACACTTTGTTTAGATACTACCCTGCCTCTGTAGTGTTCTCTCTTCTAACAGATACCGTACCAACTCAGAAGCTGTGTTTTTAAGAGCTGCAGAAAAGCCTGCTTTTTCTTCCCTGGCAGAAGTCATAATCCTCTCTGTGACATCATAATTGTTCCTGCAATCACCAACTGTGATGCCTCAAACAAAGGATGCAGCTTCAAGAGGGAGGAAGGGGAATAAACAGCTGGGATAGATAAACTCTTTAAGAAACACACACCCTATTTTGTAATGTTAATATTACAAGCAGAGTGTGAGAAGAGAAAAAGCAGTGCAAGGTATATTGAAAAAAATGGGCCTTAGGAGAAATGTCTTTGAGTAATGGATGCATGTCCCTGCTCCATCTGTTCTGGCAGTGCAGAACAGACTTAAAAAGCCCATGTCATTATCCCTCTGTGTATAAAGATTTCAAAACAGAGTAGAGGTAGCCCTGGGAGAAAGGCTTGGAGTAAAAGAGACGTGGCTAAAATCACCTGCCACTCTGCAGACCCCAGTTAGCACTACAGCTATTGCATCCTCCTTTACAGACTCCCACACCTCCTCAGAGGTTTAATGAAGCACATGAGAATCTTTAAGGCTTTCTGGAAATGAAAACAGTGATGTCATCTCCTCTCAACCAACCTTACCTGACACAATAGATAAAAGAAATATACACAAGAACTTATTTAGCAATATAGATAATCATTAGAGCTAGTGTTCACAGATTTCCCAGTGAAGAGTTTTTGATAAGTTTTCTTCTACTCCTTCAAAAGATTACTTCACATCTACTGCATGCAATGAAACTATGTATTCCTATCTTGATTTGCCATGTCTAATTTCTGAATATAATTAAAACATCTTTTTATTTCCAGAAATCTTTGTAACAACATTCCTAGGTATATGATTTATGCTGTTAGACTCCTACAGTTACACAAGGCAAATGCTATGCAAAGCCATAGATTTCAAGTTTCAAAATCATGTGTGCTGCTTTGAAGCTCCATCCTTAAAAGCATAAGCCCCCCAGAAAATAATAATGTCCTGTCTTTCATGTTCTATATGTGAAATTCAGGTCAGCTATTTTCTAAAATTATGATTATAGAAAAAAACCCCTCAAGTGTATCTGGTGTGCATTATTTTAATACAAACAAATGTGTAGCAGGCAGTCCTACCTTTGCCCTCCACATCAGCCATAGCTTGAAGACATCAACATGCCGTCCGCACTGCAAAGCCTTGTCTCCCGTGTCGTAGGACAGGTCGTAGTGCTTGTCTTGTTGAAAGAGGTAGGAGGCATGCATCTGATTGCAACTCTGCATCAATCCCTTATGGACACAAAGACACAGGCACAGGGATGTCAGCACAGATTTGACTACTGCTCTGAGGGTTGCTTTGGGTGAAAAATTACAAACACCCAAATTCAGCTATATATATGTCCCAGCGCAAAAGGAAGATCAAAAAACCCCGCAAAAGCAGACTTAGCTGCTCAATGCATTAATCCCTATCACTTCCCAAGACACCTTGGTACCTGACCCAGCAATGTGTAATCCACTCCCAGATCCAAGTAATTTTTAAAAAAAGCTGGACATTGTGCTTCTGGCATTCTTATGCTTAATTTAATTTTTGGATCTTGCCTTTTCTTCTTTGTTCTGGTTCCTTTTCCTCCTTTCCTTTGAAGGCTTCTTTTCTGAGTCAGACCAAGACAACTGGTGACTAATCTAAAGAATATCACAGCACTTTTCAATTGCTTTGGTCTCTAAAATTCTGATTTTTATTGTTTTCTTTCTTTGTAGGAACAGTTCTTTTCTGCAAAGCCCTCAGCTGTACATTGAATGCTTAAGAGGTATAGAAAGCTTTGAACAGACAGAAGAGCATCTGGCCTTTAAAAACCCAGCTAGACCTATTTCTGGGCTGCAACATACCATTCTAAGAGATAACTTTGTGGGAGAGACAGAAGCCAACAAGGTGAGGAAACCTGGCTCATGAAAGCATGAGGTTTCCTTTTTAACTTTTTTAAGTAAAATGCAGAGAGCCATGTTCTGGCTCTAGTTAAGATCTCAACCAATTTTATGGCACACCTTAGGGCTGTTGCCTAAAATGGCAATTTCCAGTCCAAGAAGAATCATAACATGGCTGTTTATCATCAAGTCTAATCTTTATGTGTAACTCAAAACTGAGATAGCAAAATGAGAGGGGGAAAATGAATTGACTTTCTCCAAATCTGAACCATCTGTTCTCACTAGAAGTCAGGGATGGTACTGACTTCAGCTGGGCAGGCTTTGTCTTGGGGAACTGACCCAGAGGGCAAATAAAAGCCAGCTTCTCTCTTCCTAAGTGCAATCACTTTGTATACAATCTGTTGTACAGCTGTTAGCAAAACAGCAACCAGCTTTTTGATAGCTGGTCTATTAAGTGGTGGCTGTACGGCAGCTGTCCCAGTCAGTGATGGTTATATGAAAATTACAGGCTTGAAGGGGAATTCAAATTCTAGCACTAAATGAAACATTTACTTTTTATTCCAAGTGCACTTAGTGTTCCATTTTTACTTCCATGTGCCCCGAAGTGGATATATAGATCAAAGCTGGGTAGGAATACTATAAAAGTCTAGAAAGTGTAATGATGCCTCGATTCTGGACCAAATGTTGTGCTGCATGTAAACCACAACTTTCACCCCAAGAGGACCACAGTTCACCTGCAGTTACATCTTATGCTAAACAGCAACGAGTGGGGTTACAGAGTCATGCAGCCACAGCTTAACCACGGACATTTAGAACAGAACATCACAAAACTCTGTACAGATATTGCCATTGATTGCCTCATTTTTGCTAGACATCTGCTTTAATTCCTTCTGCAGTCATGGCTGAAGCATATAAACAGAGGTCTTTTTCTCAGTTCCTGTTACAATCCTCATCACATTAGCAAGTATTAGCTATGGCACTGTTATGAAGAAAATACCCAGGATTTTCCGAAGTAAAATGCCAGAAAAAGCAAAGAAGCATGGTATTGTGACATACCTCTTCTCTTACTAGCAGGGCTGAACACTGCAGTGGGACGCCCATCATCTTGTGAGGGTTCCAGGTTACTGAGTTAGCCCTGGGACAGAAAACCACACAAAACTCAGACATTGTACTATGTGATGAAACCCCAGAGGCATTTAGAAATAATAAGAATGATACTGAACATGAAGCAATACTCACTTTTTTCCTTTTTCTGAGCAACCAAAGCTGATAATAATCATGGCTGATATTAGGAAAGCAATGCCTTCACAGGGGACCTAATCCACTCCAGTTGGCTTTTGGACGACAATCCTGGCAAATTACCACAGGATAATTGCTCTATCCACTAAATTTAATCAGCATTAAACTTTCTGGGGAGCCATCTATACTTTACAAACATAGGGCAAACTTCCTAAAAACACGCACTTGACTGATGAACTTTCTAAAATTGCACAGTCAATTAAAGAGGCAGATAAGAAGCTGGCAACCCAGCAGATCTCCCTCCCTCAGAGTCCAGTTTCGTCAAGATTTTAGTAACTAGCTCACACAAGCATTTTAAAAAAATCCTTGAAATACTTCTGGGTATCACTAAGTCTCTGAGTAACCCAGAAAAGCTGGCCCAAAGTAATTTTTCTTACTGCTCTGATAACGGTAAAATTTCATAGCTCCCTAATTTTTGCTTAGCTACAGCAATTCACACAACTATACTAATAAGCATGGAACTGACCGATCTTGCCAGAAAAGAGTCTGATTCTGCCTCCCTTCAGGACACGTGTTGGAAAAACTTCTGTCATCCTAGGTTTTGGGAACAAATGGAGGGCTGACACAATAGAGTCTAGAGAAGAGGCATTTGGGACTGCGATGAGGGGAGAATGGAAGATTGTCCAGTTGTTTATTATTTTAATTTTGTGTTATGCTCGAATGGCTATTTTATAATTACTATTGTTACATATGATGAGTTAGCTGATAAAAGTATATATTTGCATCCTATTTGGCAAGCTGTCAAGGACACAATAGTGCATTGATATTATCTAGTGAAGTGATTTGTATTTTGATAGTATAAATTGGTATAAATCAGTCAACTGAGGCATGGGAATACTTAAAGGACCCAGGAAACACTTGCAGGTAACACTGATGCAAACAGAGGTGAGCAGGTTAGAACCGAGCAGTGTTTTCCTGTGTAGGACTTGGAGACAGTGCTATAGGTTTATGCAACTCCTGTCAAATTGCTTCCACTCCTTCAAAGCAAGCAACTTCAAAATTCACATGGACATCAGGCAGTACTTCTGTGCTTTCTTCTTTGCTATTTAAATAGGACTGTACAAGTGCCTGATGCAAAATCTGTAGGGAACAGTCTTCCACAGGCAACATCTGGCCACTTGGCTTGGCTTTTTGAGTATTTGGCAGCTTTTAATCAGCTCAGTCAGTCATCTGATTACAGCACCAAAGCTAATGGTTCTGAACATTCACTCAGGTCTATGAATTTCCCCTGATATGATACTTTTAAATTTTATTTGTGCCTATGCAAAATCAGATGGAAATTCTTTAAGAGACTTCTAAGTAACAATAGTGGTATGCTTTTTCTCAAGCAATAGGGTTACTTACTGACAACAGCCAGATGGGAATTATCTGTCTAAAACATTTAATTTACCCTACGGTCACTTATTTACCTAATTACATACCAATTGCATGCAGAAAAAGAATTAATTATGTAAAATAAAAATCCACCGTTTTTCATTTGTTATCAGTTATTTTGGGCTTCTGTCATCAGTATGCATTTGAAGAAATTGCTGACCAAGACAAAAAATAAAAAAATCTACAGAAATCCACAGATGTTTTCCAAAAGCATCTCACGTTTGCCCAAATAACTGAGCACCAAGAACCTATGTAATTTTTTGGCTATGAGTCAAAGATAGAAAAAAAAGTTTTTCCTTTACAGATTTCAAATGGATGACAGGAGAGATTCATGACTGGCAGAATTTGGTCCTGAGCCATCATGAAATACAGACTGATGCAATCACTGAGCAGCCACAGCCCCGGGAAGGATGCTCAGACCCTCTAAGGGAGCATTCACTCACTGCACACAATGCCGCTGTGACCCCCTGCCTGAGCCTCTGCGCAGGGGACACCAGGCTGGAGCTCCTGATGTTGGCCAGACCTATCTGCTCCACACACTGGGGCTTGTGCTTCCTTCAGGGCTCCTTCCAGCACCTTGAAATCTGCCCTGGGGAGACTGGAGGGCATGGTAAGGACAGTCCTGCAAGTCCTCCTCCTGTGACAGGAGTATTTCTGCTGGGCTGACTGTTAGCAGAAGGATGTGAGTACTCAGGGCACAGTGTGCAGCAGTAAATGTTCCCTCTCCCATCAAACATGAGTAACAGCTTCAGTTCCCTTCTACTCAGACCCGTGATGACTCCATTATCTACCATGAAAGGTGCTTAAAATGTCTGCTCTAAAGGTTCCCACACTTGAGATTTGGACAAGCTGACATGAACCACTGTGTCCAGCAAGGAGAGGAGCAGTATTCAAAATACTAAATTTCCTTAATTCACTGCCAAGCATATTGAGATGGTACTTATCAAAGCACTTAATAAGAGTTCTGTATCTAAAGCTATTATGTGGAAAATGCTCCAAAGTAGATTAAACCTGAACTTCTCATTCCAGCACAATTTGGACAGCAATTTGAGAGGAAAATCCTTTGTTTCATACTCTGCCCTCAAAGGCAATGGAGGTAGATTTTTGCTTGCTCGATATTTGTCCTTTTAATGCATGATGTGTAAGTCTGGAGTACTGTAGGCAGTCTTAACTAAATGAAATCATAGACTCATAGGCTGCTTTCCAAATTTTGCATGAGAGATGTATGAGAAAAGAACTGAATCATCAAGGTATCCTCCTGATCTCCAGGATCAGGATGAGGAAGTTGTTTGTAATTTTAATTGGCAAGGAACAGCAATTTGATTTAGTGATAAAGAAGGAGGAAGGGAGTAATGCTTTACTCCCAAATATCATGAGATTCAGTAAATACAGAAATGTAAGTGACTCCATCCAGCCCAGTATACTGCCTCTAGAAAGTGGACTAAATAGGTGACTGGGAAGAATAAAAAACAGGGCTAGCACCTTTGAAATTTGTCTAAATACTCTCTGAGCTTCCACTCATTTGTGGCTCACCGAAATCCTGAATGTTTTTGTCTTTCCTTGAATGTAGATAAATCTCAACATCTATAGAAAGGATTTCCACAGCTTAACTAAATGTTTCTGAGCAACCAGCTGTTTTTTAGTTTAAGCTCAGTCCTTCCATCCTGAACTAGCATCACTTATGTTCATCTGCATTACCTGCAGTGTTTATGAGCTTATGACTACAACGGTGTGTATATCCAGGTACAGATTTACTGAAGACACCGATAACACAGTCTGGAGAGGGCTATTCTCTCCTGAAGTGACAGAGCAGGACATCTGTCCTAACTGCGGGAGCACCCACATTTTATACTAGAAGTTTTATACTTCAGTGCACAAGACCTACAAGATTCACTTCTGAGAGGAATGAAATTGCTAATTCATGTTGGATGCTGAATCAGAAAATGCTGCAGAAACTATTCTGGACCTGTGAGTGTATGGCGGGAGAAGAGAGAAACAAGCATGGAATGTCTGCTGCTTATATTTCAAAAAAAAATTGTCACACAGGCACTCTGCAATGCTGCTTCAACTGGAAGGACAGTTTATATGATTTCTCTCAACTATATCTCAGAGCTAACAGTGATCCTTGATTTTTACAGGCATTGCTATGGTAATCACAAGTATGTTAAAATGCATTTAATAAATGCCTTTTATTGATACTAATAAACCATACCTTTCAACGCCATTTAACTTCCATTTGTGTTTCCTCGACATCAGGAGCCCACCACCCCATGCTCCCTGCAAGGCAAGACACATCATCTTAATGAGAGCTCTGCTTTCCTCCGTGATGACATCTGTGCCTTCCCATCAGTTTGGGACCCTTTTTATCTCACTGAAGTGGCACATTCCAAAATGACCTGATGGAAGATGGGGCCTGAGGCATGAGCTGCGATAACAATTTTCTTGCAGTAGCTTGGAAGCAGCAGTTAATAGCCCCTAATCCAGGCTCCCACCCTCATCATCTGCAAACCCTCACTCACCCCCTCCTCTGACACGGGGCTGCCCGTGCTGTAATTAATGACCTGCAGATCTGCTCCTGGGTCAGCCGCCTTTTCTCTTGTAGTCACTAACTTATAATAACAAACCAGGCTGGGATCTCAGCTGCTCAGGGGAATTTTCATAATATTTTGCACCCACTACTGCTTGCTCTCTACTCATATGCTTTCCTCACAGAGGTCTGGGACAAGCAGGCATTTCATGTGACTGAGAAGTATTTAAGATAAATACAAATTCTTCCTTTGAATGGACTGATTTTGGCTGACACAGTAATTCAAAATCAAGACTCTCAAACCTATGGGAAGTCAATTACCAAGCCTTTTGGGGGAAAGGATTTGCAAAAATGACATAGAAGATATTCTAGGGCTGAAAGATGATCCTTCAGAAAGATTTCTTGGCAAGAGCCTGGATAAAGCTAAGAAGCCAATCTGATAAATTTCCCTAGCACTTGCATTAACCTGATCAGCAATTTGCAGTACTTTATTCCAGACAAATGTATCCTCTTCCTTATGTATTTATTTTGCAGCTGCTGCAGAAGCTGAGCCAGTGCTCAGTATACTTCTTACGTATTTCTTCACTAATGACATTTAAAGATAAAGCTGAAAGCCAAAACTAGGTCAACTTAAGTGTCCCAGTTGCTACAAGTACAACTACAGTCACAGCTCCTAAAATATCCCCCTGACCTGAGCCTTTCAGAGAAGTGGGAAGTTAGTGCTTGAATGTTAGACTTAACTACAGGAACTAAATACAATGGGTTTTGTACAAGACAACATTCTCCAAAATGAATAAATTAGTGTTAATACACCTTGTAATCCAGCCCTCCATGTACGATGGTACTTACATCCACATGCATCCAGATTTTGTATTTCTTGCAGATGTCTGCAATAGCTATGAGAGGATCAAATGCCCCATACACTGTTGTCCCAGCTGTGGCACTCACCAGAAAAGGAACAAATCCCTTCAAGAAAGCAGAGAGATGTTATGCAGGGTCAGATGCTGCAGCCCCCTCATCCCGTGGCAGCGCCAGCTCCCCTTGTGCTGTCCCCACAGTGACCCCACAAGTGTCTGCCAGAGGCCAACCCTGCTCTGTTACACTGATTTTCTCCACGTTTAGATACCAGCGATATTACAGTTTCTACCTTAAGGTGGCAGCAAACTTCCAAACCAGTATCCTCCATTTATTAGGACGCATGAGACAGGTAAGGGCTCAACAGAACAATTCTGCTTCACACCACCTGCCTGAAACAAGAAAGTCTGCACTGCAGGATGTCACATAAACAAAACTCAACCAGGCACCACAGTGAGAGACGCGCTTCTGGCGGACTGTGCCCTGGGCTGCACTGCAGTTATCCCCGTGAGTGTCTGGCCATGAGGTGCCCCAGTTTTGCCAGTGCGAACATCGTGTCTGAGGGAGTCTCCTGGGGCAGTGGGCAGGCAGGTGCTCCAGCCCCATCCCTAACGCACAGCAGGGATACAGCTCTCCTGAGGTAAAGCAGCAGCCTCCTCAGAGGCCAGGGACTATGGTCTGCTAAAGTTTATAGAAATGTTTCATTTTAATTTCATTTTTACTTATGTTGATTTTATAAGGAGTACTCAGAGATCAAGAGTGGCTACCTTTTTTTTTTTTGGTTTTTTTTTTTTTTTTTTTTTTTGTTTTCTTCCAGAAATAAGGGGGGTTCCCTTTTTTTTTTTTGTTTTTTTTTTTTTTTTTTTTTTGTTTTGTTTTTGTTTTTGTTTTTCCAGAACTGGGGTTCAAACTATTGAAAATTCCAAACTTCCTTCTGCAACTGTCAGTAGGTTTGAGTGGCACTCTATTACCATTTTGCCTTATTTTTTTTAATCTACTGTATTGCTTTTATTGGAAAAATGTGCTTTTAATGAAGATTTGTGTTATTAATCAGGTTTGGCTGCTGTGTGTCTAGTGAATATAAATGCTGAAAGCACAGGGCTTTCTTTAATTGCATACTTTAATCTGATGTTTTAATTCTAGCTTCTCTCAGTGAACAAATCCAAAAGTGTGTGCATTTTTAGAGATATGTGGATTTCAGTTTACCTTACATTGATTTGGTGAGTCTATGAAAACTATTTTCAATGCATTAAAATAAAACAAATTCCCCAAAATGATGAATCAGGTTTTGACAATATTCAGCTGAGAAGCTGCATCATAGGCTGATAATATAGAAGAGGAGGATATTATGGAAAACATAATATAAAAAAGAAAGCCAAATAGCTCATGGATATTATAAAGTAGTTCTAAACTTATTTTCTCAGCAACTCTTGCCTCAGTAAGTGGCAGGCTGCATTTCTAAGAAATAAATCAAAACTTAATGAGCAAGCCTGTGTTGTTTTACCAAGGAAAGCAAACAACTGGCTTTACCATTCTTTGGGGTTTTTTCATCTTTGGAAGCAGAAAAGCTGGTAAACTTACTTTTTGTTTGGCTTCAACAATTCTTCTTTCAAGGTCTGATGGGATCATTTTCCCTCTGGAGCAAGAGAGAGTTATATCAGTAACCGGATCTTGAAATCAACTTTTGCTGTTACTTCTTCACTTAATAGGAAACCCAAAGAAGGAGCAAAGAAACTTTTTTGGCCAAGAGTTATGCTCCATCGAAGAGCACAGAGAGACTCTGTCCATTAGTCTGAGTTTTTACCCTATTTATTTAGTCAATATTTGCATCAATATAGTGATGGTAACTGAGAGAAAGAACCTCGTGGCCATCCCATTAAAGACTGATGCTGCTCCTTGGAGCCTCTTGGTCCTGTCTGAAGTTACAGTCCTGGGAAGAAGCTTTAGCCTCCCAGGGAGAGGCTCAGCCCAGTGTCCCAAGAAGTTCACTGGATGCCAAATCCCATGCTCCTCTCTCAGCAGGCACAGAAAATGCCAGAAGAGCTGCACAGCCTTGGGCAGTGCACGTCAGTGGTGCTGTCAGCAGCTGTCTCTGTGCTCCCTTCCCAGGGATGAACACCTTTCTGGGTGACTTTCCCACGCTTTAGTGAATTACATGTTTGCATTTCCTGGAAGCAAGGTGTGAGAAGCTGCCAGTCTAGACCTGCTAAATGCACTGCCAGGCTCTTTGCACTGATGTATTTGCAACACCTAGAGTATGAACCATCTACGTCAGATTCAGTCGGGTAAGGCTTGAAGGCTAATTTAGGAAATCCTGTAAATTAACTAGGTGCAAGGTAAAACAGTGTTGATACTGAATATTAAGGCTATTGTTTTCTTTGCTTTAGACACAAGCAAATAACACAATAAAAGAAGAGGCACTATGAATACCAGCAATACAAACATGATAGATTCCCATGTTACAGAAATAGTCTTCACCGGCTTTAAATGTTGTACATTGAGAATGTTATAAACTTTTAAAGAATTTTAAAAGACTTTTTAAAGACTTCTTCAGATTTTTTTCTTTCACTAGGCCCTCATTTCCCACTGCTACAAAAAAAAAAGAACCTTAATTGAAGCTTAAAATGAAGTGGAAACTAATACACCTATTAGTTTTAGTTTTCTTTTGCATACAAACCCTTGAACTGTTTTCATGACATTTGGATGCATGTCCTTTTTTAAAAATTATTAATTTATTGTAATAAGGTACTATTGGTTTTGTAAGTTTCCATCCTCACAGACCTTACAGTAAGATGGTATTTATTTAAGTAGAAATGGGTTTATACTGCTGAGTTTTTTTTTGTGAAATCTCTCCTGCATATTCAAAACAGTGGAATATGGAAAGAATAACTAAAAATATAAAGCTCTAAAAATCTAAAAATTAACCCAAATTTTTCTTGCAGAAGTGCAAGGTCTAAAGAGTATTCAGCTCCTCGTGAGCTCCCCCCAGACACATGTATCTGATCAGACAAAAGCAGCAGTAGTCTAATGCTCCAAAAATGTTCCGGGGATCATTAGAGGAATAAAGAAAATAAAACCATGTCAAAGGAGGGCAAGGAGTTCCTCTTCAAAACATAATTTAAATGTTGATCTTTAATAGTTTCTGATTTAGTGAGCTTGTGCACAGAAACATACACAGAACTGGGCAGATGCTTTCCCTGCCCAAATTTTTTTACCAAAGCAAGCAATTATTCAGCCTCTTGTCACATCAAAATTCATGGCAATGGAGAGTGCAATACCCAAGCAATGTCAAGGTTTACCAGGTAAACAAGGCAAACTTGGCAGGTGTGGGTCAGAATGGGAAAGAGGCACTGGGAAGTATGCTTGGTCATACTGAAATCATCAAAATATATCAACGTGCTCCTTCCACAGACCCACATCTTCACAGAGGCTCTTCTCAACCACACCACATCCTATGCAAACAATCTGCTGTATCCCTGTGCTGTCTGTGAGACACACAGGAATCCTGCTGTTTACTTCAGCGTGGGCAGGCCAACCTTTGTGGTCTTCACAGAAAACCATCACGCTGAACTCGCACAAGGAGAAAAAGAAGACACAGCTTCATTGATCCACATCCACCTCTAGTGAACAGAAACAACTGGGGATTTATTTTGATACGTGTTGGTTGCTCTGACGTCATTAAATCCTCTTCAAGGTGTGTTCGGTCTTTTGTTAATAAAGAGATAATAGGGCCATAAGTCAATACACAGGCACTGTGATAAGCACTGTAAATTGCTTTCTTGATTCATGTTTTTTAATGTGGGAGCAGAATATTTTGATAGCAGCAAAGCCTTCCATTTCTGTTAGAGATGTAATTTATTAAATACCTTATAACAGTGAGGGACTCAAATAGCATTTTCTATTGGAAAGACTCTCCACAGAATCAGTAAGAATTGTTCTATTAATTTTTTATCCCATAGAAAGTGTTTTCCTTAAACCAGAAAATTTTTATCAGAACATGTTGATTTTGTTAATATACCTTTTTTTTTTTCTCAAAATGGGTTTTCACAGCAAATTGAAACCTTTTAGTTGGGTGTGTTAAGCAGTAAGTTGTCTACCACCCTTTCTCAGAGCCTGTGTGAGCTGCAGATTAGTTGCCTCCTGAGCTGTTGATTTCCAGGGACCACCATCCTTCTTAGCCTATGCTTCCCACAATGCTGCCAAGATCCTTCTCTTCACATCCCACCACAAACGTGTCCCTGTCAAGGGCACTGAGGGGAATGCAATCCAGCTGAGAAAGAGAGTAGGGGCACAGAGTAGTAGAATTATATAGCAAATGCTCCTAAATATTTTATTCCTACAAAAGGCCCACTTCAGCTCAATTTTATGGATCAAAATGTGAGAATTGACCAAAACAAGCTTCCTCCTGGTTTCTTAGCAGAAAATGTAAAGAATGATATTAGTCTGATATCCTGTTTCACATCAGAATGAAACAAAAAAAAAAAAAAAAATCAGAAACCTCTGAGGAAAGGAACTTTTAAGATATTTTATGAACTCCAAAAATGGACCCATAAAGAAGCTACTAACAGAGCCAGTTCCTCAAGTGGGATAAATTAGTGTAAAGCTGATGAAGATGACAGTGCTATGACAAACAGCACTGCTGACCACATCCTACATACTCTGAGATGAGCACCTGATGATTCTCTGTTATGCATCACAATAAAAGGCATATTTGACATCTTTACTTACCTTTCATCACATCTAATCAAAATCACACTATCTGTACCAATACCCAAGGCCGCAGCTCCTTTCTTCACAGAAAAGTGACTCTGAAAAAATAAATTTATTATTATTTATTTGTTTAATTATTTATTATTTAGTTTAATATATTGCTCTTGCAAATCCTTCAGCAAGAAGTCCCACAAGGCAGTAATTACATTCAGAGCCCTTTTGGAAACCGATCACTGTAATTTGAGGCCCCGAAGCAGGTCACTACCATCAACTGGAGGAACAGCAAAATCACTCTAATCTGGGTTTACTCCTGGAATATTACAGACACAACTGTGGTCCATGCTGGACCTTGATGCATACCTGCAGCTTCTAGTGCTTGTACAGATTCAGCTGTGAGCTTGATTTACTGAAACAAAATAGTCTTCCCTAGAGAATTCATTTAGTTTGTGATGCCCAGAGTCATGTACTACAATGTATCTTCTGCCCAGAGAAAAAGAGAGAAATGAATATAGGAATCCTAATTGTGATGTCATGCCAGTGAAAGCCAGTAACAACTCCTACTAATAAAGAGAGCTACTGAAGTTTAAAATCAGAAGAGGGCTATTATTATTATTATTATTATTATTATTATTATTATTATTATTATTGTAAGACTATTACTTAATCTGTATGTACAAAATAAAATGTGTAAGTTACATACTGGAGTGCATGTCAGCCTAATTTTCTCTTGCTTATAGGACTTAACTCCCAAGCTAGTGTTGGTGTATAATCCTAAACTGAATCCCAGTAACTATGATAATTCAACAGTTTTATATCAAATTATAGCCCCAAGAATCTGATTTTGTATTAACTCAAGCCCACCTGTTAACAATATTGTCTAAAGTAATTTTAACTACAGTTTATTAAACATTGAAAAAATGGAAATTCTTTAGATACTACAGTATCATTAGCTGAGGATGTAACACTATAAAAACGATCCAGAAGACAAAAACCTAACAAGGCTTTTTAAGTGTCCAGAGTGTTAAAGAAGAAAGGAAGACCTAGTCTGCAGATCACAAAGGAAAGAAGCAATCACTATGGCTTTGTCAAGGGAGTATTTGCAAGCAGCAGAGAGCAGTAGGGGAGAGACTGGCACAATGTGACACGTGTGGACTTCACCTAAAGGCCACGAGGGCACAGATTCACTGCATGCCAGAGGATTCTATACATAATGAACACTTTGAAAATTACAGTAACTCTAAACCAACTTAATGAAAGAGGAAGAAGAGTAGAAGAACTGAAACATGTACATCCAACTTCAGAAGTAAAAAACCTCTGTGTTTTAAAAATTTCTCAGGCAGTAGTTTTCACAGAGGCTTGACTGCTATGGCTAAGATTGCTATGGTTAAGAAATTCCAGTACAAACTCCTTTTTTTATATCCCTGTATTCTCACCATTTTGGCTGAAATTCTTAATGTTTTCATTATGTCTGCTGACTTTTTCAATATCCAGAGATTTTAAAGAAGTTCAGATTGCTCTTAAGTCATGTTTCACTGATGATATATGGACAATTTGAAAATGCTTCCTCAGGTAAATATTTTTAATACTAGATTTATTTTTTAAATGCACTGGGTTGGTACAGCTTTTCCCTGTGGGACATGGCTGCAGTGTATGAACAATGTGTATTGAGCAGCCAGTCAACACATTGCCTAGATGTAAAATCAGTTTTTGAAGTACTAGCACAGCAAACCACCCCAGTCCCTGAACTAAGCACACTCTGAAAAGTCAACATACACACACACTGGACTGACTCTCACATGAACTGATGATAAATGAAAGGCATACTCATCACTTAGATGAGCCACAGGGGATTTGTGCCTGTCCCTTGGTAGCCAAACCAAGCTGACATCATCAAGTAGGCTTCCTCTGCACTCAGGGGGAAACAGGCACCTCCAGGCAAAGATTCATCCAGAGTAAGGGTGGCTGGTTTGGAGAGGGTGCTGAATGACATCAGGTGAAGAAGTTTCTACCCCTTCTCTCTGAACAAAGTCCTGTGATATCCGCTGTGAGAATGGGAAATGTACAGCTTTTGCAGCCACCAGTACTCCAGACACTGCAGATGTTGAACACCCAGACGTCATCCAGCCTATTAAAGCCACTGCTCACTGGTATGTCCATCTTGGAGTTTGCTCTGTTGTTTTTCTAGCTGGGAGTCACAAGGTGCTAGGAAGTATTTATACACTGAACATCACAGCTCAGCCATCACACTGACATTTTTCATGGCATGTTATTTCCTTCACAAAACTGAATTTTTGGACAAATGCATTTCTGTGAGTTTCATCAGCTTCAGTAAATTCAGTGGACTTTTTCCCAGCACAAAAGCACTGTAGATGAAGGCTTGGATTGTGACCAATTCAAAAACCTCTAAACATCAAAGATACAAAAGTCTGTTCCCAGTCCTCCCTGAGCCCTGTGGGCAGTGAGCACTGTGAGCAGTGCAACTTTGTGAGAGCTGGGAGAAGAGCCCATGAAATGGCTATTGGCAGGAGGAGGCTTATAAAAAATTCCAAGTTTAGGAAAGTATCTTGGAAGTTTGCAAAAATTGAAAACAGAGCAAAAATATTGCCAGTATAAGGACAGTTCACAGATATGTTATATGAAGATAGAACCGAATTCATATACTTAAAAAAATTAATCTGTTTTTTATTCATGTATTACACAAACTGATGTGCACATACTGGGTGGTGTAAATATATAAATGCAGGTAGAGATTTAGGAGTGAAGAGGCACAGATATATTTCACTGGGGTTTGAGTTGATGACATTACATTCATTAATTTTGCTCCTTACTCCACACTAGTTAAAAAAGATTTACTGTTGCAATTTGTTTTTCTACTAAGAGAACCAGAACTATTCAAAGTGCCTTAAAAAAGAAAAGACAGATTTAAATGGTCTACTCTGAGGAAGGAAATTAAGCCCATGTGCTCAAAGGCATCTATTGGAATATGGCCAAGCACAGCTGCCTCACTAAGAAGTCTCATGGCACTGCTAAAAGAGCACCAGGGAAGAAAAATGAATGTAGTGCTGATAGCTCAGTTGCCTGAAGGTTTTTTAAAGACTGAAGGGAATTCAGTGGTCAGGAACCAAAACTGGTTTACAAATAAATTGTAAGGAAATACAGAAGTCTGTGCACAGAAGGGCAAATACAATTACAATTTCTAAACAAACTCTGAATATGAAATGGCTCAATCTATGTACACAGTCACAGATATATGACTGCTGTTATGTTTTCATGTTTTAGGGCAAGACCACAGGAATTACTCCAAGTGCTTGAGAGGCTCTAAAAGGCCAAGAATGAAAGCAAAATAGCAAAAAATATAGTTGTAGAACCAAAGAAAACTTTCACAATAATAAGTATTAAACTTTGGTTTATTATTCCTGCAATGGTGCTGAAAGTTTGGTCACCTGTGTAATATAATGGTAAACACAGAAAACCAAAGGTCAAAGAGATTAAAAGGTTTGCAGAAATAAACCTGATCAGACAGAACTATTCACAGATGATTTAACTGGGCTAACAAGGAAGGACATTAAATGTGACCCCTTTGTAAATACCAGGGCTACAGACTCTTCAGACATACCAAGAAGGGAGCCTGAACACCACCTTTGAAAGCACAGCTGTGTAAGGGTTACACGGATCTGAAGCCTTATGGTGGGAGAACCAGGGAACAAAGGGAGGACAGGTGCAGGCTCCCTGATGCCTGAAGGAAAAGCCAGGCTTGGGGACACTGGAAGTCTGGAGTTTCACCACTCTCCTGGGCTTGCAGACAGAGGAGGACACACAGGTGGGAACGGGCTGTCACTATGGCCTCCTGGCTTCCTCCCTACCTCTCTTCACACTCTGCAAAGGGTGCATGGAAGACTGAAAATATGGGAAGCAATGTGGTGAAATTCAGTGGTGAAGGAGAAGGAATGGATATTAGTGACTAAGAGTGTACTGACAGTCAGAAAAAAAAAAAAAAATCGGTGATTCTGAGCCAGGGGAATTTTCCCTTTATCTAAAATTTCAAATGCTGTTAGGTATAGGTTTGTTCCCCAGATAGCCATTCTTACATGGTTAGCTTTGTAAGGCAGAGACAGTGTAAATGTATTACACGTGCAATAATGAATAGGCCCCCTGAAAAATGGAAGAATAATTAAAAATGCTATGATGCTGAAAAGTACAGCATTGTTATCTAAAGTGCTTCAATATACAGATGCTTCTATTTTTATAGCTTGCTAAATTACTCGCTCATCATCTGGCATGGTTGAAGCTGTCACGAACAACCATCCTAATGCCATGAGCCCCACGGGGCATGGCTGTTTTTTCAGATTGCTGCTTCTCCTTGCTTACATAAACCCAGAGTGGCATGAGCTTTGTGGAGGTGGCTTATCAGTAACCAGTTTCCAAATGCTGAGCAAGCTAAGACAGACATCCTGCAGCTGAAATTCCCCTGAGATCTGTCACTGGCAGCCTAGTGCCCAGGAGATCTGGACCCCCTGCCTCACCTTATCACCTATCCACCAGCAAAGAAGAACACACTTTCCTATTCACTTCTCTTGAGCTTTAAGCATTGTGCAATCCCTGGATGTGTAGGCTGAGTTATTTATCTCTTAATAATCTAAAAATGTGTTGCTAGTTTCGGCTTGCTGTTTGGGCTCCCACAAAGGGGGGGAAGAAAAGGTACCTCCAGAAGGCACTGATCTCTTAAGGCTTTGGCACCTGCTTTAAGACTTAAGATGAGCTGTCTTCTGCAGATCTTGTTCTTTTTTACTGGCCGTAAAAACTGTATAGACTAACTCCGATTAAATGTTTACACTTCAGGCAATTAACATTAAGCAACACTAATCCTATATTTATCATCTGATTTCAAGCTACAGCTTCTCCTTCAATTACCTACAAAAAGAGCATAGTGTGTCCCACTCAAATTTTAAATACACTGCAATGAGAGATACATTTTCTATGGTTTCATTTACCTACTGCTATTCAATTTTTAAAGTTACTTGCTAGTATGAGGTGAGAAATGAGGATATTAATGTTTCTAAACATACCAGTATACACATCTTTAGCATTTTTCAAACAC